AAGGACGCTACTAGGGGCTCCTGGCATCGCTAGTAGGAACAAGGACGTTACTAGGACCAGGAGCATCTTTATCCGAAAAGACCTCGCCAGGAGGATGAACAACGTCCTGGAAGGCGGGTCTGTCTACGGTGAGTCGGTGAGTCATACCGAGTCATACCATTCCGGTTGGCCCAAAGGAGAAGACTCCGATGTGTTTCATTTTCTTCGTGTTCTTCGTGTTCACATTTTGTGTCTTGTTGCCTTTTGGGCGCGTCCAACCAGTTTTCGGCCACAAAGGCAGACAATATTGAAGAGGTGAGTAACACGACCCATCCGTTTGCCACAGCCAGAATCAAGCAGTGGTCGGTGGGTGAAATGGCACGAAAACCGCAAAAGGCTCTGAGGTCCTCTTCTGAAGTTCGCAACAGCATGTACACTCATAGCATCTCATAACCAGAGGGTGTTCTTCGTGCAAGCGACAAACAGGCTCGTTTTATGGCCACCGGAACACACAATGAAAGATGTACTGCAATGGAGGCAGTTCTGGTAACTCAGCCAGCAATTGCATCTCGCACGGTGCGCATGTGATCCGTGAAATTGCGCGTCATAACAGCTTTGATTGCACCGCCCAGTGGGTATTCGAGGTGATATCTTGACGTACGGTGCGATTTCTTGTTACCCTCCGTCGGCACTCTGATAATTTACCTGCCTTCGCAGTTCCAAAAATGAAAGCGGACGAAAGATCACATGCCTAAACAGGCCGATGCACAGCCTGTGGTCCTTTCCATCTTTCCATTCCAAGCTCACCGAGAGTACATCCTCTCCACTTCCGGGTGTCCGGTTGGTTGTGTGGCTGTTTCCATGCAGACTACGAGTCATGTACAAAACAAGACTCAAGTGAAACGACTCGTTTGTTCTGGGGGTCTTTGTCACCAAATGTATTGAACAGTTCCAGTTCAACTGAAGACAGCTTTTCAACTGGCTGATTCATCAAACAAGGTCGCGGCGTCAATAATGACCCCGCTGTTTTTTGGTATTCCAAACATGAAAACTCCATGAAAACAATGTGTTTAATGGTTTGCAAACTGCCTTTCGACTGTTATTTGCAGGAGAACGAACAAGTTTGTCAGAATTCCATTGTGTAAAATGTTTCGGTCCGCAAAAATTAAAAACACAAAATTGGTCACCGACATAAATGGCTGCGATGTCATGAG